AGAGGATTTGTTTCCCACAGGATGGGGAAACAATGCCATGGGACACCTACACCTTTTTCTCCCCCAGCATCAAGCAAAGCAGGGAAAAAAGAAATTGAAGCAAAACTGGGAATGCCTGTGTGTGTTCTCTCCAAGCCCAGTATTTTTCCACTGGACACAACCCCAAAAAGCTGGAGGCGGGGGATGCTTTGCTCTCCCACACCCCTATCCCTTCGTTTTGCACTGGGGAAGCCTGAACCATCGGCTCTGCTTGCAGCTAGCAAAGCGATTTGGCAGGCGGTTTGGCTGGAGCTGCTGGTGTGTTCTGGCGGGTTGGGGTTTTAACCCACTCCCGGCTTTAAAACTGGGCTTTGAAAGCCAGCGAAGTTTTTTCCGAGTGCGTCTTTACTGTTTGCTTGGACGTGAGCATCTCGGTGACACCTGCAGGTTCAAGGATGCGTTGCAGCATCCTGGGATCTGCGGGTTTTGCCCCTGCAAAAACCAAACCTCCTTGGCCCACGGTGTGTCACCTGAGGATTCGGGCAGTGGCCCCTCTCTGTGGTCCACGGGCCATCCTCCAGCTCTGAGCTTCCAGCCTGGCCTAGGGTGACTGGCCATGCCCAGCAGAGCCCCTTTAAGGTCCATGCCCAAAGGGCTCTTGTATTCGGGGTGGGTCAGACAGAGGCAGGTTGTTGCCCCTGTACCATGAACTGAGACCTGGAGACTCATTGCATGAGTGGCTGCAGGCGCTGGGCAAGGGGAGGGCAGCATCACTGCAACACGGTGGGCACTGGTGTGGCTGAGCTGCCCCCGCTTGCTGTGCCTCTGCACGTGGCTGCATCCCTGCTGCTGGACCCAGCAGCCCCTGGAGCACAAGGTGAAGCCTTCTGGGGCAAAACTAAGCATTCTGGGGAAGAAAAAGACCCTTTTTCCTTCAGCTGGGCTGGCTGTCATTGCTGAGGAGCTGTGCCAGCACGGCTGGGTGCGGTGCAGAGGATGCCAGCTCCATCCTGGCAGTAGCATCAGCCTGCAGTACCATGGAATGGCAGAATACCTCGACTTGTAAGGGACCCATAAGGATCATCGAGTCCAACTCCCTGCTCCTTGCAGAACTACCTAAAACCAAACCGTACGACTAAGAGTGTCCTCCAGACTCTGACAGACTTGGTGCCGTGACCTGGGGAGCCTGTTCCAGTGACCGACCACCCTCTCAGTGATGAACCTTTTCCTCATGTCCAACCCGAACTTCCCCTGACGCAGCTTCATCCCGTTTCCTTGTGTCCTGTCGCTGGTCACCAGAGAGAGGAGATCAGTCTCATAGTTTGATGTCCTTCTTCTAGTGAGGCACCCAAAAGTGCACACAGCACTTGAGGTGGGGCCACATCAGTGCAGCGCAGAGTGGGACAATCTCCTCCCTCAACCGTCTCACGGTGCTCTGCTTGATGCACCCCAGGGCACGGCTGGCCCTTTTGGCTGCCAGGGCACACCGTTGACTCAAATTCAACTTGCCATCGACCCAAGCCCCCAGGTCTCTTTCCACGGGGCTGCTCTCCAGCCTCTCATCCCCCAGTTTGGACGTATAGCCAGGATTACCATGTCCCAGGTGGAGACTCCGGGTACTTGCTCTTGATAAATTTCATAGGGTTGGTGGTTGCCCAGATCTCTAGTCTGCCCAAATCTCTCCGTAAGGCCTTTCTAGCCTCGAGGGAGTCCACAGCTCCTCCTAGTTTAGTACCGTCAGCAAACTCACTTAATGTCCATTGGACTCCTGTGTCCAGAGCCTTCATAAAAGCATTAAAGAGGCCCTAAAATTGAGCCCTGGGGAACCCCACTGGTGACTGGCTGCCAGCCTGGTGTAACCCCATTTCCTATAACCCATTGAGCCCAACCAATCAGCCAATTGCTCACCCAGCATGTGACTTGTCTGTCTGGGTGCTGGACATTTTGTCCAGAAGGAGACTGTGAGAAACAGAATCAAAAACTTTGCTAAAACCCCCAAACACCACATCACTGCCTTCCCTTGGTCAGCTAGAAGGGTAACCTTGTCATGAAAGGAAATTAAGTTGGTTAAGCAGGACTTTACCCTCGTGAACCTGTGCTGGCTGTGACCAATGACCGCAGTATCTCTCAAGGGCTTTTCAGTAACTCTCAGAATATCCTGCTCCGTAATTTTACCAGCATCAAAAGTGAGACTGACAGGCCTGTAATTACCAGCATCTTCCTTCTGAGCCTTCTTGAACATCGCTCCCTACAACTGCCTGACAGGAGGGGGGAGCTGAGGGGGGGTCAGGCTCTGCTCCCAGGGAATGGGTGATGGGACGAGGGGAAACGGCCTCAAGTTGTGCCAGGGCAGGTTTAGGTTGGACATTGGGAAAAATTCCTTCCCCGCCAGGGCTGTCAGGCACTGGAAGGGGCTGCCCAGGGAAGGGGTTGAGTCCCCATCCCTGGGGGTATTTAAAAGCTGGGCAGAGGAGGTGCTTAGGGCCAGGGTTTAGTGGTGGGATGGCAGGATTAGTGGAGCAGTTAGGCTTGGGGAGCTTAAAGGGTTTTTCCAACCTCAACAATTCTGTGGTTCTATGAAAATGGGGACAACATTCATCAGCTTCCAGGCAACTGGGACCTCCCCAGACTCCAAAGACTGTTGAAACATAATGGAGAGTGGTCCCGTGATGACATCGGCCAGCTCTTACCATACCCTGGGATGAACCCCGTTGGGACCCATAGCCTTACGGTCACCCAGCTGGAGCAGCAAGGCTCAAACACGTTTGGGGTTGGCTGGGTTTATTGTCCCCCCAGTCATGGTCTTCCAACACAGGGCTCCGGGGGTGCTGTGGCCTGTCAGCTGTGTTGAAGAAGAGGCGAAGGAGACATTAAACATCTCCACTTTTTCTATGTCCCTGTCTGTGAGGTGACCGACCTCGTCAAACTATAGACCAATGTTATCTCCGATAACATTGCCAAGGTAGCAGGGTGGTTGTGGGCTACACTGTATTGCAGCTGTCTGACGTGTCCTTGGGGTTTGGTGGTACCGCAGATGCTCCCCGCCCCCTCACCCCCATCCCTCACCAGGCTGCAAAAGAGTAAGCAAAAGGAAATTTAAAAGCTCTCTTGTTTTAATCTGCTCATCTACATACAAACACTTCCTTTTCTGCCTCTCCGGCTGCAGCGCAGACAGAGCTGGAGTGGCCGACCCCACCGTGGTGGTGGTGCCGACACCGAGAGCTGCCCCATGCCCAAGGTAGGGGCTTCGCCAGAGCCAGAGGGGGATGTGGGGGATCAGAGCGGTGCAGGGGGCTCGCCGGGGCACCGAGCTGCTCCCCATGAAGGCAAAACCCCCCCAAAGTGAAACCCATGCCTTGAGGGCACAGAGAGGGAACGATAGCCTCTCTGGCTCGGTGGCAGCAGGGGTGGCGGTTTGGCAGTGCCGGGCTGTGCCGGGTGGCAGGGGAGGTTGGGTCAAGCACCCGCACTGGGTGCTCCAGGATCTGAGGGTTACGGCAGTGAGAAGTAAAAGGGTTATTTATTGCATGGGGCACATGGTGGCTGCCCTTGTGGGGGGGGGGGGGCAGGCTG